AATAAGGTCAATGTGACACAAATGAGGAAGAAAACCCGAAAACAAGCGGAAAATAAATCACATACACAATCTATGTACTAACACAGCAGTCTCTCCAGCCTCTTGCTGTAATACTGAATCATCCAAACAACAAAAGCTTTCAATAAAGTCAAACAGGGCTATTCGCAAACAGGATAAGCAAGGATGTAACCAAATATTTAGGACTGAGGGGACCAAAGGGAATTTAAAAGGGAATACTGATTAATGGTAGCTATTTTGTAATCCATTCCATAAAAAAAAACAGGATTATATTTCCACTTTTGCGGTCTAACACCCCATGGACGCACTGAAAGGCTCCATAATTAACATTATAATCAGCATCTAGTTCATAATCGTCACATCGCCAGCGTTATGATCACTCACCGGAGGAAATATGATTGACTTTATTCGCGTCCACCTCGGCCATGTCAGCGGTTTAAAATCACGCGCAGAGGCTGTCGGCATTAAAATGCCAGTTTAATTCACCGCACAACGGGACCCGAGTCTGTTCAACGGGCTTGTTTTGGCCCTCTGTGGTTCATTGAAGGACTCCTCTCCGGTTACCGCATGTTTACAACAAGCGTCCACTCGCGAGCAGCACAGCCAACTTCCGATGAGCTCACGTGACAAGCCAGCATCATGTGACACGCTCTGAGGCTGCTGAGGTCACGTGTGGTTACTGTAAACAGAGCTTGTTGTGTATTATTCACATTAAGTGATATGTGATGCCGGAAAAGGGAGTTTTTTGTGTGTGTGTGTGTGTGTGTGTGTGTGTGTATGTATTTGTTTTTTTACTTTGAAATAAATCAGATCAAGTACCCTAATGTGCCATTTCATTTTCTCTATTCTAAAAATGACATTTAATTATCCTTCATATATTAAAACACATATTAAGCTTTTATATTAAGTCTAATTCACAGATGTCTTATGTTTTATATGTTGTTTTTTCTGATATTTATTTAATTCTGTCACAAATGATAATCTTTGAACGTTTTTTTTTTTTGTTTTTTTACTAACAGTAGGTCCTGTTAGTAGCAAGCAACAAAAGAGAAATAAAACGACTACTGCATTTAACATGATGTGCAAAACATGGTCATTTTGTCGACAATTTTCTAACTGTGGTGATTCAGTAATGAAGCTAAAAAGCAGTTTGGAACCATGCTAGATTTTTTAATATATACAGAATACTATTTTATTTTGTATTTGTTTCTTTATTGGGTTTGACCCATATTGAGTGACTGTTAGGGGGATTAAAAAATATAGCTTTATAACTCTGAATGTTTGACAGATTAATCTTACACCATGTCTACACCGGACGCGGTGTTATATTGTTCTGTTTTGTAGCTTGTTTTTCCCAGTGCTAAAGAGTCAGTGAGTGTGAGGCTAAACATGCAACTTACTGGGAATAGTTTGTGATTTTTTACAACATGACAGCATTAACAGGAAATCAAGACACTAACGTCATGATTACGCTTAATTACACAGAACTGCTTAATCCAGTTCCTGACAAAAGTTCCCAACCCTTTACTAGTAATGCAATAAAACTGCTGTAACTGTCATTTACACAAAAAAAACAATGAAGCGGACAAAATGTTACATTACGTTAAGAGTATTAATAATCACTATTGTAACTACTGTACAACATTTACACAGAAAATATTAACACGTACATTTTTTAAGGAACAATATTTCCTCATCTCCCCTTGGCGTTTACAAAGACTTTATTATATTGTGTGATAAAAAAAGAAACAACATGAACAAGTGAAGCATACAGATATAAGTCCAAATATAATAATTCACACTGTAAACAAAACTTCTCTGCTACTTTTTATGAGCATATGCATCTCCGCTAGCACTAATTATTCTGACATATGTACAGTGCCTGCACAATTTTGCCCTGACAAAAGTTCCCAACCCTTTACTAGTAATGCATCATTTACACAAAAAAACAATGAAGCGGACAAAATGTTACATTACGTTAAGAGTATTAATAATCACTATTGTAACTACTGTACAACATTTACACAGAAAATATTAACACGTACATTTTTTAAGGAACAATATTTCCTCATCTCCCCTTGGCGTTTACAAAGACTTTATTATATTGTGTGATAAAAAAAGAAACAACATGAACAAGTGAAGCATACAGATATAAGTCCAAATATAATAATTCACACTGTAAACAAAACTTCTCTGCTACTTTTTATGAGCATATGCATCTCCGCTAGCACTAATTATTCTGACATATGTACAGTGCCTGCACAATTTTGAGCAACTAACAGTTAAATGGTGTTAACATTTTTTTTCAATATCAGTGCAGTGATACTCAATTCCACTGAGATCCAAGCCTAAATTCAATACTGATTTAATTTACCATTTATTAATGTCTTGTTATGGTACATTTGTAAAATGAACACCCAAAAATGATATTATCTTAAAGTTCTCTGAAAATAACCCCTCAATGCATTAGTGTATCAATAAAGACATAACTTTACACTGAACTGGACAAGTGAGGTGACTGTGTTGATGTGGCTTGTCCTCAGCAATATTCTGTAACATCATTAAAAGAAGAAGGACAGCTAGAGACAGTCTTGAAGTTATTCTGGATCTGTGCTAGATGCAGTGAATTTGTTAGCAAAGCTATAAAAATGAGTGGGGAAAAAAAAACAATGCTGAGACTCCAGACTCAAGGCTAAACTTGAAGCTTGATGTACTAAGCAATCTGCTATCTGCCATCAAGAGTTTTATCACGAGCAATGACTGCCTCATCAAACTTGATCATCAGTGTGGTTCCCTTATGCCAGTGGACAGTGACTTTGGCTGGGAAGCCACTGTGGGTTAGGATAGCCTCCACGATGCCACCAGTGAAGGCTGCACAGTTTAAGGTGCTATTTTCTTTAGGTACTGAAATGTAGGCATTGATCAAAGGCTCCTTTTCAATGATGTAGTATGTTTTGTCATCATCGTTGGCTTGCTCCAGTTTGTCAGCTTCCTTACCAAATAATGCTTTCCATACATTTACCTAGGAAGAAAGAAATAAAGAGTTAACACTATAGGCTATGGGAACTTTAAAGGAGTAGTTCAGCCCAAAATGAAAAAAGGCTGAACATGTACTCACCCTCAGGCCATCCAAGATGTAGATGAGTTTGTTTCTTCATCAGAACAGATTTGGAGAAATGTAGCTTTACAGCTCTTGCTCAACAGTGGGTCCTGTGCAGTGAATGGGTGCCGTCAGAATGAGTACAAACAGCTATAAAGCTGATAAAAACGTCACAATAATCCACAAATAATGACTCCAGTCCATCAGTTAAACAGTCTATAACAGTTCTCAACGAATATATTGGTGGATTTTGATATTTGAGGACAACAGGAGAGAGACTTTTTTTCCACTGGAGGAAGCAATATTACGGATAATAGACTTCTATTTTGGCCAGAAGTGATGGTTAAGACTGCTTAATAATGGAGTTGTTTCTTACAAACACACTTTCTTACAAACATAAGACATTAACTGATGGACTGGAGTTCGGTGGATTACTTATGGATTATTATGATGTTCGTATCAGCAGTTTGGACTCTCATTCTGACGGCACCCATTCACTGCACAGGATTGACTGTTGAGCAAGTGATGCTAACTTTCTCCAAATCGAAAAAAACAAACTCATCTTTGATTCAGCAGGTTTCAATTTTTAGGTGAACTGTTCCAAGAATGATCTACACTCTGCAAACAAATAAACAGCAATACCTTAATAAAGAGAAGTATGTTCAAAACTTTGGTCTCTCTTTTTCCGTTTTTCTCCCTCATCACAAGAACATCCAGAAGGCTGGCTCCAACCCCTTGACCCATGTCAGCCAGCCGGGCCTGGAGCTCCGACACCGAGTACACCCGGCTCTGGCAGTACTGCACCATCTCCGAGAAGAGCAGCGCGAACGCACTCACGCTCACCTCCGTCTTGGGGCGCGTGAGCGAGCGCTCGAGGATCGCGGATTTGCCTCGCGTGAAGCGCACCTCCATTGCGTCCACACCGAAACCGAATCACAATGTGAGTCAAAGAATGAAGTGCCTGAGTCCTGCAATATAAACAGCTTTGAGTTATAAACCAGCATATTATAATTTGCAGAAAAATAGTTGTTGTCAGTTGTCCTCATTGATTTGGCATTCAATGTAGGTCTCACGGCTTATCATGTAACGTTAGGTCTCTGATTACATTATGGGGTTTCCTGATTAAAAAGGGACTGAATAATACGCCGAACGAGCCACCTTGTACAGAAACTAGACAATTATGAAGCAGGCGTCACAATCAAATCATATTTCACTGTGTATTAGCGTTTACCTGGTGTTTTGGGTTTCAGATCCGGATGCGTGAAGCCACGATTAGTGCAAACGCCTGCTGTTCACTTGTGACCGGATATTTTCCATATAAAAGTAGGATGGGACACAGTAATGGTAAATTAAGCACAGTATTGGAGTGGAGTTGTGTAGTCTATCAAATTTACATTTTTAATAATGAATGGAATTTATCCCATCCAAAGTGCACACACACAGCAGTGAACACACACACCCAGAGCAGTGGGCAGCCATTTTTTGCTGTGACGCCCGGGGAGCAGTTGGGGGTTCGGTGCCTTGCTCAAGGGCACCTCAGTCGTGGTATTGAAGGTGGAAGAGAGCGCTGTACATTCACTCCCCCCACCTACAATCCCTGCCGGTACGAGACTCGAACCCGCAACCTTTGGGTTACGAGTCAGACTGTCTAACCATTAGGCCACGACTTTAATTGTTTTATGCCTAAGCAAGTAAAAAAAACAAGAGGAAAATATCTGCTACTGTGGGAAGACAAAAAAATAGGCCTACTTATATTCAAGACAAAATCTATGAAAACAAGCCTTAATAGTTATGCTGTGTTGCTTAAAATTTATCTTGTTTTAAGAATTTTTTTAAATTTATTATTAATTTAAAACATAAGGAATGTCTATATTTGTAATTTTTCTGCATTTGTTTGCAGCTCTTCAGTGGAAACGATTCTCTATCATTGGACATAGTATGGGTGAGTCCGCTTTCTTCCTGCTGTCTTCATTCACTGACAGGTCAAAGTTCTCGTTTGTGTGTGAAAGGTCAGAGGATCTATGTAAACTGTAAGTTAACTGATGATAAATCCTATTATTGTGAAGCTGTTTTACTGTAGTGCTCTGTAAATCCCTTGTTTTTTGTTTCTTTTGTACTTTCCTTCTATGACATAAATATATGTTAGTAGATCAGTAAGAGGGCATTAGAAGGACACTGTGGGATGAGTGCCATAAACCTGACTTCATAACGCTCTACTATATATAGCATCACCACTTCTCTAAATGTCACCCTTATTCACGACCAGATGATGATCCAGTTTGTTGAGTACCTGCAGTATTGTTTTCCAGGATTTGAGGAGCTTAAATTAATTAAAATATATTTTAAAGGGGTCATATGATGCTATTTTAAACATCATTATTTGGTGTAACAGAATATGTTGACATGCTTTAATGTTCAAAAAACACATTATTTTTCAAATACTGTACATTATTGTAGGTTCTGTGTGTGTGTGTGTTTTGAGTCATAACTTTTAATAATTTAAAGGTATTTAGTTGTGGGTAAAGATATAGGAAAACAGACGTGAACGCATTAACACCACCTTGCGCAAATCTATAAACAAAATTAATGCACAGTCTTGGAATAACATAAAATAACTTCAACATAATAATAATAATAATTATTATTAGTAGTAGTAACTTAATAATAATCATAGTTACTGGATAACACTGGAATTTATGTGAAATTACGATAAAAATAACTTTCACAAATAAGTAACAAATATTCATGACGTTCAAATGAGCAGAAGCTGTTTTTGAACTGGGTTAATTATTTGGGATTATTATTTGATGTTTCTTTAACAGGTGGGAATGTGGCAGGAATAGTGAGTATCTGTCATAATTTCTTTCATATTTCTGTAAATGTTGTAGTTGTTTAGTACAGTGTTTCTCAACTGGTTTTGCTTCATGACCCAGATTTGACATAAAGCGACAACCTATCACAGTACTAAAAGGATGCAGTGTAAACAAAAGTGTCTTTAAATTTATTTAATATTAGTGAGCTGTAAAGGTCCAACAGTTTGCAAAATGATTAACTTTTTGCTATCTTCCTGTGCATGAGTATAAGGCTGCCTAGCATTGTTTTTATCTGCTGTCCTTGAATGGATACGTTTTTGGTTTTGCAACAACTGAGAAGCAATGATTTGTTGTGTAAATGTAGCGTGTGATAACAGCTCCTTCTGATTTTCCAGTTTAGTGCCTTGTACCCAGAGATGGTTGATGCCGTAGTTCTCCTGGATACATATGGATTCCTCCCAGCACAAGTGGTAACAATAAATGGAGCATTTAGCTGTAAATCATACAGAAGACTTCTTATTCAACATGCATGCGTCAATAATAACAACATACATGTTTATTTGCCCTTTCTTAGACTGACATGTTTAAGAACATGAGGAAAGGGATAAATGATCAAATCCAGTATGACAACAAGACGGAGGAGAGGAAAGAGAGGGTCTACACATATGAGAAAGCCAAAGAAAGGTGAAGAATGCCTGATATTTACTTGCAAACAAACATGTATAACACATGAGTGTTCTTGTTCGTTTTTTTTTTTTTTTTGTTCTGTATTCTGTTGAGTTTCAACCACGTTCTTTCCCACAATTTTAAGGTCTGTCTGACTTCTAAAAATAGAGAGTTGATGCAGTGCGATTCAGGCAGATGAAGTCTTCTAGTAAAATTGTAATTGTATCATTTATACTTTTTGTCTTTAAATACGTTATAATTTTATTTAAAGGTGGGGTAAGCGATTTTTCAAAAACGCTTTAGAAAACTGATTCGGGCCGAATAGGGCATCACTGATTATAATGAGTTCCATAGTATTTTGTCTCGCTGCGCCACTCGCATCCGGTGTAGACATGGTGTAACATTGGTTTTGCTTTGTTTCACAGAACTAATCGTTGCGTACGTGTGTGGGGCGGAGCTATCAAAATAGGGGCAAGACCCTTTTGGGGTAGGGGCGTGTTTGTTTTGGTGATTTCAAATGTCAACATTGGCTACCAGAAATCGCTTACCCCACCTTTAAAGACTTCATCTGCCTGCATCTCACTGCATGATTAAATTAATTTACAATTCTTATTTTTTATTGAATATTGCTGTTTATTATAAATGATTATAAAAATGGATAAAATCAAGTCACAATAGGGAAGAAAGGGTAATTGCATTTCCTGCCTTTTTAAAACTTTTTTAACGTTTTTCTAAATTTCTCTTTAACAACATTTTTGACATTTTTAAGTTTTGATTTATCATTTGTCCACCTTATATTGATTGCAAAGTTGAATTTTCAGCATCATTACTCCAGTTTTCAGTGTCACATGATCATTCAGAAATCATTCTAATATGCCGATTTAATGCTCAAGAAACAGTTTATTGTTATATATGTTGAAAACAGTTGTGCTGCTTAATATTTTTCTGTAAACCATGATGTATTTTTTTCAGGATTGTTTGATGAATAAAAAAAATCACATTTATTATTATTGTCCTCTTTCAGGTTGAAGGCTGCAAACCCCTCCCTTTCCGATCAGTCTGCAGACATTCTGTTAGAGCGAGCGGTCAGAGAAGTTGAGGGAGGTAAGACATACAGCAATTGCACACTTATTCTATGGACCCAGATTTTTCTCACTTTTTCTCTAAATTGCTTCCTTTCTCTTGAAGCATTTGTATTCACCAGAGATTTCAGGATCAACCTGGTGAGCTTTCAGTATATTTATTCATCCCTTTACATTCTAGTTTATTCACGATAACAAGACTTCAGATTTAGTATGACTGTTTGACCCATATTCATCTGTGACAGATCTTCCAAAAACTCATATTATCATATACAGTGGTTTATTCCTTTTTTTGTCATGGTTTCTGCTATACAAATGTTTTGTGTTTAGGAAGGAATGTATAAAAACACACTATACACATCATGATAAATGTTCGTTCCTTCATATTTAAATATCTCTCTTTTTTTGCCAACTGGTGATATTTGGTTTTGTTTCAGAAAAACGTTGTGAATAATAATATGGAACAATGCCTCCACATGATGTCACTAGTTAAAGCCCCAGTGATGATACTGCTGTGAGTTCACAGTTTTTCACAGTTTTCATAATGTTCAGGAGAAGCACTGTGCACATTTAAGCACAATGCTGAAAATTAGAGATGCACCATTATTCAAATTCTTTATAGTACTGAAAAGAAGATAATTATTTTCATGTTATGGCCAGAAACCATAATAGTTCTAAATAATATGTCTAAATAGTTTCAAAATAAAAAACTGAAAATTTAAAAATTTGTCATTTTAAATGTTAAAAGTCAGTTTAGGTATCATAACCTTATAATGTACAGTATGAAAAATATAATGGCCTACAAAAGCATTAAGTCAAATTTAAAATGCCTGAATGTCACTGTATTAGAAAATAAGATATGTATATTTTACTATTGTTATAAACTCATCATATTATCCATACACTATCAGACTGCTTTTGTGTCCTGTGACATACGTTGCCTCACTGTTTCAAAATCAAAGATGTGTCTTTCTTCAGGGCAAAAGACGGCCTGTTCAAAACCTTTATTCTACCTGATGGATATGTTGATATGATTCTGAAGGGCTGGACTGATCAAAAAGTGAGATGTGCGCACATACTCACAAACATAAGTGCAAAATGTCTGTCTGGAATGGTATTATCTAGAAATATCTTTCTCACTCTTCTGCAGGCCACCATTGTTGATGTAGAAGGGGATCATCATATTCACCTCAACAAACCTGAGTCCGTGGCCTCCATAATCACTGATTTTCTTCAGTCACACAGTCCTGACAAAACAGAGAGTGAATCTAACAATAACCAGTCTTCCAAATTATAGCACACACATGCTGATTCAAATAATGAAGTAGTCTGTACTGATTCAAGATACTCATACCATTCACCAGTTCTTGATAATGTGATACTTTAAGCATCACAAACCAATTTAAAATAAAAAATTTTTTCCAAAAGGTGTTTATTAGAAAACGTTCAGAACATTTGTCTTCCATTTTTAACGAGAGGTTTAGTCCCTGCTGTTGGAAATCTCTGTCACAGAGGACACAGGACCTAGGGTGACCATACCGGCTATTTTTATGGGATGCGCCCTAGCCAGGATTTCTATATTGCCTAAAATATCCAGGTTTTGGCTGTTAGCACTGTGCAGATCGATCGTTGTATGACATTATTTCACGAGAGCTATATGCTTATGCTTTCAAATCGCTCTCGCTGTACTTTGGTGTCATACAATGATTGGTGCGCAACTTCAAGTCGAACAAACACGTGCACGTATTTACATCGCTTTGATCGTTCTCACCTTCTTGCGCGATGCGCCACGATTGCTCGATTATGTACAATACCTGCATGTTATTAGGTCAAGCGAATTTGGATGTTTTAGGCAATATAAAAATCCTGGCCAGGATGTGTCCCGTTTAAATGGCACATATGGCCACCCTATACAGTGGACCATGTTATATTGGCAAAATACAAATGCTGCTGACAAACATTGATTATAGTGTTGGAAAAAAAATCGGTTTAGTGCTGAGTCGCTTTTATGCATTACCAGATTTAATCCGCTCAAAGAGAAGCTGGCTATATGTGATGCACATAAAAGGTTTTTAGAAACGTCTGTTAATGTTAATAAGTATTAACTAAAACATCTGTTCATTTTTACTTTTGTTGTGATGAAGAAAAACTAAAGATTAAAGTATATAATAAAATGTGTCATTTGAGTGTTTTTTTTTTTTTGTTTTTTTTTTGTGCAAATATTGGGGCAAATAATAGATCTGTAACTATAAATTCCAAAGCTACAAAAGTATTTAGACAATTAAATCAGGTTTTAAAAGGAATTAATGTACAGTTCAAACTTTTATGGTCATTAAGAATTTATGTTTTTGAAAGGTGCTTTTATGCATATAGTAATAAAAACAGTAATCACAGTATTAAAACAATAATATTGGGAAATATTACTATTTAAATGAACTCCTTTCTGTATTTTATGATATTTTAAAATGATGGCAAAGCTGAATTTTCAGCATCATTACTCCAGTCTTCAGTATCAAATGATCCTTCACAAATCATTCTGATATGCTCATTTGCTGCTCAAGAAACATTATTATCAATACTGAAAAGAGTTGCACTTTTTTCAGAATTGTTAGATGAAGAGAAAGTACAAAAGAACAGCATTAATTTAAAATCTTTTGTAACATTATAAATGCTTTGGCTGTCACTCTTGACCAATTTAATGCATCCTTGCTGTATTAATTAGTTTTATTAAAAAAAAAAAAAACGTACTGACCCCTGACCTACTATATCTCTATATATATATATATATATATATATATTGTGTGCTCGACTGTGTGTTTTTGCATCGTTGTATTTGTGAATGTGCAGATTGCTCTGAATATGTGTCTGTGTGTTTGATTTCCTTCAGGCTTTGCTGAAAGCTGCACATCTTGCATTTGTCTTGCGCTCATATGTAGGTCAGTGCTGCTCAGTCTCGAATGTCAGGCAAAACTATCAATAGCATGATACTCTAAAGACCAACAACTGTGTAATGGGAGCTATTGTGATGAGATTGTATTTGTGTGTGATTGTGTTTATAAATATGCTTTATTTATATTCAGTCAAGCATTGCTCACCTCAAGCTATATAAGAGTCATGTAGCAGCTCCCAAGTTTCTTTGTGTGTGTGTGCATGTTTATGAGGACACAAATTTGTTTTCTGTAAGGGGTAGGTGTAGTGTTGGTGTAGGGCAAAAGAAAATAGAGTTTGTACTGTATAAAAACCATTACACCTATGGAGATTTTAAAGAGATGTTGATGGCCAAACTGTTTTGGTTCCCATTGACTTACAATGTATTTTTTTTTAAATGATGGACGTCAATGGGAACGGAAACTTAGTTACCAACATTCTTCAAAATATCTTCTTCTGTGTTTCCATAAAATTAATATGAATAGTCTCATTACAGATAATGACATGCCAAATTTGATAATGCATATGTTGTAAAATGAGATTTAAAAGCTATGTGAGTATATGAACCATTTTTATGATCCTTTTTGTTATATTTACTGCTTCAATGTTCTAGGTCACTATTCATTATGCAAAAGAACAGCATGAACATTCTGTTAAATTTCTTCTTTTGTGTTCCACAGAAGAAAGTAAGTCATACAGGTTTAAAACCTAAATAATGACAGAACTGTGAACTATCCTTGATGTGTGCGTTGCTGTAGGTTATTTGAACCTTTTGGGGATGTGAAAACATTTATACAAAATAACATTCCTCCTAAAAACTCCCTCGAATTTCCAATGACAATTGCCATGTTCCAGTTTAACTTGAAATTATTAGGAATGTGAGAGCAAGACTGAGAAGAAAGGGTTACAAAAAATTATGTAACTTCTGCTCTGACCCTTTCCTCGTCAGAGATGTCTCCATGGTTACCCCCCTCCCAACTGGAATGGGATGGTACAGCTTTGACAAGGAGAGCACGAAAGCAAGGGTGCGAGAAAAGCCCTCATTCCATAGCATTGAATAAAATAAAATGTCTTTGTCCACATAGCTTCACCAGTGGCTTCGTTGTTCAGCATTTTAATTAGACTATTCTATCTGCTCAGCCTGGGTTTGAGACTTTAAACCCAAAACTACAGCGCCAGTTCAAAGACAATCAAGGAAAGACTGCAGGTATGTAGAGACACATGATACATATGTGCATGTGTGGAAGTGATGTTTAATGGCATGCTGGAGAAGTATGATTCATTTTTTGTGTATTTCATCTAAGTCATTTCATTGTAAACTGTTAAGTATGAGTGACAGTATGGTCATATTTTGATATGGATCATGCAGCATTTTATATACTGCAGTGCACAGGAGCGTTCTCATTTAGAGAATAATGCAACTGTCTCTCTGTTTCCCTCTTTCTGTACTTTTGAGATCACACAATGCCCTGGATGTTTCTGGACTGGTTCGTCCCCGTCTATCTGCTGGTCTCGGTCCTGGTCCTGGCTGGTTTCGGAGCGTGTCTGTATTTTCTGGAGCCGGGTCTTCAGGATGCCCACAAGTGGAGCAACAAGTCACTGAGGCACCAGCCGCTGGCTCCCATAAGGCAAACACACTGTAGAGATGACGACAGCAACACCTTGTTATGATGGGACATGTGGGGACGCTGCAATGAGACGTTTGTGCCAAATCATATATTGATGCCACTTTATCAAAATCCATTGTCTTTTAACAGGGTTTCTGTAGTTATATACAATGATCTGCAATTGGATTACAAGACAAAACAGCATAATACACTGCAGAACTCAATTCATTTATACTTATAAAGATTATTATTTGCATTACATTTTGTAATCTCAACATAATTGGATGTATTCCATGTACTATTTCAAGACTAACTATGAAAACTGCCTCTACTGTAGTGGTTCACAACTAGGGGTCCAGAACCCACTAGGGGACTTAAAATTACTTAAATTAATATATTATTATAAACACAATTAAAGGGATCGTTCACACAAAAAAAAGTTCACACCCTCATGTCGTTCCAAACCTGTAAGACCTCCGTACATCTTCGGAACACTAATTAAATTAAATAATTTTTGATGAATTCTGAGAGCTCTCTGACCCTCCCGTAGACAACAATGTAATTAACACGATCAAGGTCCAGAAACGTAGCAAGGACATCGTTAAAATAATCCATGTGACATCAGGGGTTCAACCCTAATTTTACAAAGCTATGAGAATACTTTTTGTACGCAAAGAAAACAAAAATAACGACTTTATTCAACAATTTGTCTCCTCCGCGTCACCCTATAGCTCCATTTTGGAGAGTATGCACTGAACGTAAATGGCGTATGTGGTGTACACCGTGTGGTGCGGCTGACACAGAACAGCATACGGCGTTAGCGTTCAGTGGATACACTCCAAAATGGAGCTATAGGGTGTCGAATTGTTGAATAAAGTCGTTATTTTTGTTTTCTTTTCATACAAAAATTATACAGTACAAAAAGTATTCTCATAGCTTTGTAAAATTAGGGTTGAACCCCTGATGTCACATGGATTATTTTAACGATGTCCTTGCTACGTTTCTGGACCTTGATCGTGTTAATTACATTGCTGTCTATGGGAGGGTCAGAGAGCTCTCAGAATTCATCACCGTTAGCGTTCAGTGGATACACTCCAAAATGGAGCTATAGGGTGTCGAATTGTTGAATAAAGTTGTTATTATTGTTTTCTTTTCATACAAAAATTATACAGTACAAAAAGTATTCTCATAGCTTTGTAAAATTAGGGTTGAACCCCTGATGTCACATGGATTATTTTAACGATGTCCTTGCTACGTTTCTGGACCTTGATCGTGTTAATTACATTGCTGTCTATGGGAGGGTCAGAGAGCTCTCAGAATTCATCAAAAATATTTTAAATTGTGTTCCGAAGATGAACGGTGTTCTGGTCTTATGGGTTTGGAAGGACACGAGGGTGAGTAATTGATGACAATTTTTATTTTTGGTTGAACCATCCCTTTAATAGTGATGTATTAAAATAACATTGAATTATTACAAATAAAGTATTAATTTAACAAAAACAAAGTATTAATATTAATCTAACTTTTAAAAAATATATTCTTCTTTTTTCCCCCATCTCAGTAACTATTGTTTCTGGTTGTTTCCTAGTTTCTGTGTATACTGGAATAATTATTTACTTTAATTTGCTTTGAAAAAAATTGTGTTGGACAATGGGGGTATTTGTGTCTAAAGCTTGAGAACTGGGATCATAGTATCATATGTAACCGTTATCCAGTGATGCTTCCCACACAACCTCCCACACAAGTTAGCATCAAAGTAAATTCTGGTGACATTTGGCCAAACTGGAGGAACAACCTTGACTTCTGTGTGAAGGGGGTATTGTGTGAAAACACATTACATACAATGAACAAACAAGAGGGAATGTTTCCAGGTCATGACGGTCATGTTCTGGGTGGCATTTTAGAACATGCCTGAAAAATCTGGAAAGCCCATCTCCCAAGATACATGCAGTATACTGTGAATTAAAGAGTAAAGTAGGGAACTCAAACTACTCGGCATGCTATTTGTCATTAGGCATCAAATAATGGTAGAGTGTTCAAGACTTTTATGAATACCGACTAGATTTTAGTTGTATCATCTGTAGTAGATGTTTTAAC